CCTGAGGCATGTGAGATCCTCTCTGCAGCCACTTGCACCTTTTCCCTGCTCCAAGTGCAACAGTGCACCACTGTAGCCTTCCCTTCTCTACAGGTGTCCCTGTTCATCTCACCTGCAATGTTTTGTTCCTATTCAGTGTGCAGGTCTTCTGAAGGGAAAGAAGGTCCAATTGACAGGGCATGAGATTTTACTGAGCCTCTCAGTATCCTGTTTCCTTTGTTCAGCCTTTCTGATTAGTGTCCATTCAGTCTCATTGTTTACTTCTATTGGACTCATTCCTGCCTGGTAGTCCTACAGTTTTTTCCCCTGGCCCAGTCCCCTCCTTTCCATACTTCTTAATCCTTGTGGATGGGGCCAGCTGGCCATTCTTGCTGTGTATTAGTAGGGAACTACTGAAATCATAGCAGAAGTGCATGGCATCACAGCTTCTTTAATCTTGCAGTTTTCCCCACATGCCCCCTTGCCAATTGGCAGAGGGGCTCCACTGCTCGCTCCTGATCAGCAAGGAGGCAAAAACCATGGTTTTTGGCACCATTTTTGCCTCCTGGCTGGTCAGCAACAAAGAACAGGGCCACCAGGGCCCCTCAGCCAACCAGCAACTGGGGAAGGGGGCACATGGGGGAAACTGCAAGATTAAAGGAGCTGCTGTGCAGCCCATTTCCACCATGATTTCAGTAGGTCTCTACTATTAGGCTTCACTCCATTTTCCCCCAAGGCTTACCCACAGTCACTTCCCCTCAGTCTGTCTTCCTCCAGCAGAAGCTCTGTCCTTCTCCCTGGTCCAAGTTATTCTGCCTCTTGCTGCTAGGACCTTTCCTTATATTTCTCAAATGGGGGTGGCCTCCAGCCTTTCTTCTGAAAGGCTTTACCCACCCCCCTCCTGTAATGAGGATTAAAGGGGCCCATTCCACTTTCCCATTAGATAAGTAATTTTAAGAGAGAGAGATTATCTTGCACATGCTTTGCAATTTAACAGTCTTATAAACTACTGGACGTAAACCCTGAGGGAAGACAGAATCACTTTTTAAAATGGTGAGATTAGCAGTCCCAGAAAAAATGGATCCTTGATACAGCTACTCTGGGGTAATGAAATAAGCTGCACTGAATAGGGAGAAGTGGAGAAGAACAGAATAAGTTATTTACTTATCTCCAGGAACCAGAACAATCAGCACAAGGGGCAACGTATCAGATGACTAGTTGATAGCCAAGGGAAGTGGTGCTGGCTCCTACCCTGGGGGTCTTTAAGAGGAGGCTTGATGCCTACCTAGCTGGGATCATTTGAGCCCAGTTTTTCTCCTGCCCTGGCAGGGGGTCAGACTTGAAGATCTATAAGGTCCCTTCCAACCCTACTTCTATGATTCTATGATTCTATGATAGTGTATTAAATATGAAGCTGCAAAGATTTTTGAGAGTAGAGTGATGTTTAGGGAGAAAGACAGCTGGTCCTAGCTGAGGATTTCAAGAGGATTGATAAGTATCAGTATATTGACATTAGTTACACAGAGGATCTGGTCCACAGAGGTGCAACTCCCCACAAGTTCAGTCCTCTGAAGATTTTGAGATTTTCCACCACTGTCTGTACAAGTTCTTCTCCTCAAATTCATTTGCACACATTTAATCAATATCACATTTAAAATAATGTTTCTAAGGAGTGTTCTGTTATGATTTGTGAAGATTTACCTTCACATATTTTATGCAAATAAAAGGAAAATGTTCATACGACAATCTTTCAAATTTACCTAAAGATATGATTGAGTTATAAAAAATCCTTCTAATACACTAAAATGACATAAAATGAAATAAACAGTGCAAATTTCTTATCTGAAACATGGAAGTACAACCAAGGAATTACAAGATAGGTAATTTAAAATTGCAAAGACATGTTTGTATAAGTATATCTTATTATTTTACTATGTATTATAAAATCATCATAGTAAAATCTATGTCTATAACTGATTATAATCTGGTTTCAACCCCCCTACCCGCAATAATTAATTAAGTCATCCAACATGCTGTGTGTTACTATGATTTCATGCAGTACATATACTCAAGATGGGCTTCTGAATAATGATAGGCTTATTACGATTTACCTGCTGTTTCTTTAAAGATAAAGATTTGATTATTTAAATACATTGTATACTCCAGATTTTATTTGACTTTCAAAAGTCTAGGTTCTACATATCTACCCCTTGTTTTGAGTAATCAGTGTTCATGAAATGTTTCTCAGAAGACTGGCCACTGCTGTCCTGCATATAACCATAGCACAAATAAAGCATGGGCAGCAGCAAGACAAGATTCCTCAGGCTGTCCCATCAGTGTACTTTCAGGGCAACTGTAGCTTAATACAAAGAGGTAGGCTAGATCACAGGCCAATTCACTATTGAGACTGCCACTAATGATGCTAATACTTTGCTAATGATTTGAGATTATCCACTCCTTTCACGTAACAAGACACAGATCATTCAGATCATAGTAAGTATTTTTTATTTATCCTATTTTACCCATGCTCTGAAATTCATTTAATCTGGGCCAAATCCTGTCTAGTTCTAATCATATGATTAAAGTTGAAGTTGTTGGGAATACTCAGGTAATTAAAGCCAGTTGGATTAGACGTAGGATGAAAATCAGTCTATTCCATTAACATGACATTATGTCCAAAGCTCTTCTTTGCTTATCTTACTTTATCTAAGAGTATGTTTGCAGATCCAGCCTAACGCATTTGTGACCATCCTTACAGGACCTCCAGCCCAAACTTTCAAAGAACTCTACAAATACAAATTAACTTTGGCTCAAAGCACCCTTATGGCATAGCTAAGTATCATCCTCACATACCAGTTGAGTCAGCTGAGGTCCAGAGATGTTAAGGCAATTGCCTAGAGTCATATATGAGCGAGCCCAAGTCCTAGGCTTTAACCGTTAGACCATGCTTCTTGTTAATACTCTGTATGGGTTTGTCTTTTGACTGAAATTTGACTGAATAACTCTGAATTTTCTTGTTATTAACTTATGCTCCACGAGAGCACCATATTCTACTGCATTTACTCCTAATGGAGTAGTGTAGCCAGACCTGCTCCTTCATAAACCTCCTAAAGCTTCTTGAAAGATTGTGAAAATCATTTAATTTGGAGATTGCTTCTACTTATCTTGTTTACCTCCTGGGGTTAATTTTTCTTTCCTTATTCTTTTATAACTAAGGACACTTACATGAATGCAGGAGCTTTGTTTTTAAAGGATCATCTGCTCCTGCTATTTATTCCCCACATGAAATCATAATCCTCTATTTCTCACAGCACAATAATTTCCATGGCAACCAACTGTGATGTCACAAACAAGGGATTATAATTTCAAGAGCTGTTTAGCTTTTTAAAAATAAAAGCCTTGTATGTAAATATCCCTTGTCCACTTACACACTATACTTGAAACAAGAACAGAAACCATACATTATAGAAGTAAAATTGTATATCAATAAGATGCTTATCAAAACTCCATGACAAAACAGCAGTTTTTTAATGTTATTTAACATAGTTGGCTAGTTTTTATTCGTTTAGGGGGAAGGGGCTGGCATGGTGAGTTTTGTTTTGTGGGTTTTTTGGTTCTAATTATGGGCCACTGATATCTGCCTGCCAAACACATAAAAGACATTATTCCAGAAACTGCTGATTTTGATTTAAGACGTGAAGAATGTAAATCTTCACAAAGTCTCATGAGGCCCTTTGAGGTACATTTTCTCTGTTACTATCTCTTCCTTAATAAGAACACATTTTATATTTTTCCAGCATGTGGTGCTTTTAATGCATTTCCATTCTTTCCAAAGAAGTGTATAGGGTATTAGAGATTGGGTTTTTTACTGCTTTATCTGGCACTTATAAACCAACAGTTGTGACAACACCTCACTTGATATTTTTGAAAAAAGGATTTGTGCTTGTATTTTATTAAAAGCCTGCTGGCTTGGTGCATGATTAAGTAAAAGTAGCAACTTCCTTTAGAAATGCAATATCTTGGTTAATGTTCTGTAAGATTATTGACTAGTGCTTTCACATTATTTTTATTAAGCTGAGATTAGCTCTGCTGAAGAAGCCTACTGTGACAACAAGCCATAGGGGCCTGACGACATCTCCAAGCACAGTGCGGTGTCATAAAATGGTGCCCTCACTGTGTGAACTTGCTGCTGAAGCAGCAAAAGCTTCAGCATTGAGATCAGCATATTTACCTGTCCAGAACAAGAGAATTTTTTTTAAAATTAAATTAGCAATGGCACTTGAAATCTGGAGCTTTCTATTGATTTGAGAGTTGGCCTCTGTACCCAAAAGTTACTTGAACACTCTGTGACATTGTGTTCAAGTCCAGACATGAGAAAGAGACCACCAGTAAAAAGCAAGGAAGGAAGCTTGAAAGCATGTGGGATTCATTTCAGTCACTTGCATAAAGCTTCTGTTTCTTCAATGTAAAGCTTTTCCAATGTCAAAAATGTATGGTAATAAAGCATGTGATAACATCAGCCTGTCGAGAGACAGGATGGAGGGAGACGTGCATGAGTGGTATGTCTCAGAATTAGACACCATCCAGAAGAAGAATAGGGGGTGGAGCCCCAGCCTTACTAAAGTTAATGTGAGCCTTTAAAATGACAAAAAAAGGGACCAGGTTTCCATCTCCTGGAATTTTGGGGCTGTTCTGAAATCTGGTCTCTAAGACAGATCCTGACTGCCAATGTTTTTATAAAGAATGATCCCCAGCTCCCCCCCAGTAGACATCTCCCTCTCTCCCCCTCCCCCAAACTTTCTATCAATCAAACTTGGGTCTGAATTCTACAGCTTGAGCCCATCTCTGCTCAAAACAACATCCAGCTGGCAGGTATAGTATGGTTCTGTATTTAGGGTAGTCAATGAAAAAGCACCTCACAGTTCACAGATAAAATCCCGAGTTAACATTTCTGAATGGACTAGGTCGAATAAGAAGGTTTTGTTACTTGTCCACTTACCTCCTTGTGATATTTGTTTCAGGAGTGATTCGTGAGAGTTATCTCAAAGGTCATGATCAGCTGGTGCCCGTCACCCTCCTGGCCATTGCAGTCATTCTTGCTTTTGTCATGGGGGCCGTCTTCTCAGGAATCATAGTTTACTGCATCTGTGACCATCGCCGCAGAGACGTGGCTGTTGTGCAGAGGAAGGAGAAGGAGCTGACGCACTCCCGCCGTGGCTCCATGAGCAGTGTTACCAAGTTGAGTGGCCTCTTTGGAGACACTCAGTCTAAGGAGCCAAAGCCAGAAGCTATCCTCACACCTCTGATGCACAACGGCAAACTGGCTACCCCCGGCAGCACAGCCAAAATGTTAATCAAAGCTGACCAGCACCACCTGGACTTGGCTGCTCTGCCAACCCCTGAATCCACCCCAACCTTGCAACAGAAGAGAAAGCCCAGTCGTGGAAGCAGGGAATGGGAAAGAAACCAGAATCTCATCAATGCCTGCACAAAAGATATCCCCCCAATGGCCTCGCCTGTGATCCCAACTGACCTGCCTCTGAGGGCTTCTCCCAGCCACATCCCAAGTGTTGTGGTCCTGCCAATCTCTCAGCAAGGGTATCAGCATGAGTATGTGGATCAGCCAAAAATGAGCGACGTAGCACAGATGGCTGTGGAGGACCAGAATGCCACCCTTGAGTACAAAACCATAAAGGAGCATCTCAGCAGCAAAAGCCCCAACCATGGGGTCAACCTGGTGGAAAATCTTGATAGCATGCCACCAAAAGTACCCCAGAGGGAAGCCTCCCTTGGGCCTCCTAGCTCCTCTCTTTCTCAGAGTGGCCTGAGCAAGCGCTTGGAGATGCATTCCTCCGCATATAATGTGGACTACAAGAGGAACTACCCTACGAACTCACTCACGAGAAATCACCAGACATCGACTCTCAAAAGAAACAATACTAACTCCTCTAATTCCTCCCACCTCTCCCGAAATCAGAGCTTTGGCAGGGGAGACAACCCTCCTCCTGCCCCGCAGAGAGTGGACTCTATACAGGTCCACGCTGCTCAGGCACAGGCTGTGACTGTATCTAGGCAGCCTAGTCTCACCGCATATAACTCGCTGACAAGGTCGGGGTTGAAACGTACACCTTCACTAAAACCAGATGTACCCCCCAAACCTTCTTTTGCCCCACTTTCATCGTCCATGAAGCCCAATGATGCATGTACATAATCAGAGTGGGGTGGGGGAAAACAGCAATTAAGCAGAGTTTGCCCTTTAAAGCCAGTGTTCTGCAACGGCATCGTTAGTTCTCATTGACAAGAAGGCTGTTATTAAGCTGAGGATGCATTGATTCTGCTCTCTGGGAAAAGTGGAATATTTTTTAAACCGAGCCATATGATCCATGGTTAAAGGTTTGCAACTGCAGGACTCACCCCCACAACCCAACAGTTCTTTACTCAAAAGACTAACTTAACATCACAAAAACATTGAGCCAAAAGCACACAGGTGAATGATGACTGTGACATTTCACCCCCAACTGCACAGTGCATTCCTGAACTGGGAAAGAGTGCTCTGAAAAGCAAAACAAGTAAAAGAATTTTAAAAAACACAAAAAAATTTAAAAATAAAGAATTCATTGATAAAGCTAACTCTGACTTAACAATGGCAGAAGTTTACTATGTGCAGGTACTGTGAAATGCCCATCAGTGTTACAGCCATTTGGTTATAGCAGTTAAATGCCAGGTTGGGCAAAACTGTGTCATAGATTTCTGCTACTCTTCTCTTTTACTGAATAACATGTGACTGTTAACGAAATAACTCCTATTATTTATTGTTCATCTTTTGTTTTTCCTAAGGAAATGACTTCTGCATATCATCCTATGAGCAGCTCTTCAGAACAGTACATTGAAAGTTATACCTATTTAACGCAAAACCCATTAACTGGAGTAATTAAAACTCTTTTATTTTTCCAATAAATTCACTGAGTTAAATAAGTTGGAGCTGGAATTCTGAACTTTGTGTTTGGACTGTCTGATCTGTAGCTGAAAAGGGGAATATTTATTTAAATCTGTCAGTTAATTCACTGGCTGGGCCTCTGATCTATTACAGGCAACAAACAAACAAAAAATCCCCCAAGTCCATAACTTCTAATGCAACTAAAAAAGAAACTCTTAAGCCGCACATTTGTGCACCATTGTTATCAACATGGCTTTGTCAGTAGTTTATACTTTCTGTGAAGGCACCAGCTTGTGATGTGCCATCTCATTTCACCTTGCATGTGAGACGGCAAACAAAATACACAAATGGTGTGAACTAGTTAATAAGCCGGCTGTTACCATGCATAAATTATGGTCTTATCACACGGGTTTTTCGTGGGAATACATCTGTGAATAGCCTGTTTTCTTCCACATGTAAATTTGTGCCTTACACCCTCAGTTGTGTATATTTGTGAGCTGTAGTATGTAAAACCTCTTTACCCCCATTTGAATAACACAAATATTTATTTATCTTCCCTCCTCCAAGCCCCCTGGAGAATTGGAGTAAAGAAGTTCAAAGAAGAATGTAGTGGTTATTGTAATGACATCATATCCCTCAAGAAACTAGGGAAGTACTATATCCTCCAATTCAGTTTGACTTTCTAATTGTGCCAATTCTTCCCTCAAACCACCCCCAGGCTATGTTGACAGCATAGGCACTATATTGTGGGTGGCAAATTCCCCTCTCCCCCCCCCCCC